GAAAATGATTTCTTAAAAAGAGCGGGAACTCTGTCCAGTCTGTTGGGATTAAGGATGCCCTCAATTTCTACAAGCAGCGAAGCTTCAGTGATGGACCGTGTGCCGATGGTGACTTGGAGTGCTTGTTTGAGTGCACATGGCGGGTTAAAGGTGAACTTGATCTGTTCAGGTTGTGCTTGTAGGTCAGACTGTGTTGCTGGCCTTTTTAACTTGGCAATACATATGCATTATGTTTAAATTTCCTTTTGTAAACAGATCTTTTCATATTCTATGCTAAACAGATAACAAGAGTCCTTGGTTGTGGGTGTAATGTGTGACAGCGGGCTGTGTTCTTGGGGACATTTTATTTCTTTTATTTTCACAAGAAATGAAAGAGAGAGAAATGCAACAATGGTCCCCAGCTGGACTCTCGCCCACATTGAGAATCTTTAAAGCTCGTTGTGCAAAACTGATCTGAATATGTCTTATGGAAGGTAACACAAGGCCAGTGGTTGCTATGGATCTCAAACAGAAACTTGAATTGGCAGCCAGCGGAGACCAAATATAGTGGACACACAGAATTGTATACACTGGTGAAGAAATTGTATTTAATGGGATCAGTCACAACATGGCCGATACACAACCTGCCTAGTGTTTGTGGTGATACTGATCAGCTGGACGGGATCTCTGGTTGTACACTACTTGTTTGTGTCTCCTCCTCAGGTCCATACTGGAGTGTGAGAAACTGGTGAAGGCAACCTACCATAGGAACGGTCTCGTTTACCGTGAGAGCAGCTCAGAGGATGAAGGCTGCGGAGGAGGCGTGTTGTCCTCTGAGGTCATCGAGATAGACGACGACGAGGACGATGACGTCATCGCGGTTGGCTGTTGTAAGTCGCGCTGCTTTCTTATGAGAACAGTTACCATTCATTGCTACTGCGACATGAAAACAATTATTAAGTATCCACTCCTCTTCTGTTCTTCACAATGTTTCAGTGGTTCCTCCAAAGAAGCCCGTCACTCCTGCCAAAGACCCGGTGGTGAGAACAACAAGGATTACATTGACTTGTATTAACACTTAAATGTTTGTTGTGGGCTGCTCTGAGGGGGAGTTTAAATCTGTTGAATTATTGCTGCTGTATTTTTTCTCTAAAACTCTTTGTGGACTTTGCTACTTTAAATCTTAATCGTTTGAAAGCTTTGTTTGCATTATATGGAATAACTAACAAATACTGTCGATTAGGGGTCTCAAACTCAGATAGGTTTGGGGCCACTGCTGGTGTTGTCATCTCATACGAGGGCCACTTCAATGTTCAAGTATTACAAGAAAGAACAATGTTCTGAAAAT